TATATCATAAGGTTGAGAAAACAATTGTCAGCAATGGTTAGCCATTTAACCCAATGACCCATCAATTCATGAATCGCAGTGATGTACCTGTAAGACAACAAATGAATCAAGTCGAGCCGAATCAAGTATCCGGTTATTAAAAGTTTGGCTTGTCTATTTTTTTATGTTATTTTGGGATCGATTCAAGGTTTTCATAAATTTTTAACAACATGATCAACCTCGTCCAATTGAACATTTATACAGAATTTGCAAGATTGCTGTCATTTTTTGTCAAATCCATTGATTACCCATTATACAACTTGTTGAAAAATATTAATCATGAACTTGTTATGGAAAAAATATTGTGATTAATGATTAAGTATAATGGGACCTGCTCTCGTAAGGATGTGTATTCAATTACGGCAAATAATGGCATGCATGCTTATATTGTTGATGCATGATTGAAGGCAATTCCCTAAAATCAAATGCCCACCCATAAAGATCCATTCACTCAGCAATGATGGGGATTTTTCATAGTGCACAAGAGGTCAAATTGTCCTGAAGTGTGTCTTATGCAACACTTCTCCTTGTATTCAAAAACTGATATTCCATGGTTCCGAGATCTGATTAGTTTCTAAATTTTTAAAATTTTAATGAAATGAAATCATACGACGTTAAAATTATTTGGGTCTCACTCGCAAGTTTTTTTTTTTAATTGATATAGAAAGTGTTGGTACAATCGAATGAAGGTAATAGTGTATGATAGGTTTATGGGTTTAAAACGGGTACTACCATATCATTCAAGTACCAATCTATGGTGGGGTGGGGGGAGAGGAAGATTTGACTACAACAGAAGGCGAAGAAAGATGGAAGTGGATTTGGGACCGATCCCACTTACACCAGATGTGAGGTTAACACTGAGACAACTACTCATATCTTTAAGAGATTGCAATAAAGCTCAAAGAGTTTGGAGCTATTTCCTTACTACTTAGGAGAGAGAGATTGATAGTTCGCTCAATCCTTCTCAATGGATTGAGAAATGTTACACTTCACTTGGTCACACTACCTAGAATAATATTGCCTGGCCCCAACTCTTTCTGGTAATTATCTGGAATATATAGAAAGACAGGAACAAGGAAAACATTGAGAAAACTAAAACTAAGGCACACATAACAGCCAAACTGTCCATTTCACTTGCTAAAGAAACTCTCGAAGCTTTTGAGAATCTAAAAGCAGAGAAATTGACTAGATCTACTAGACTCATAACTTGGGTTTTCCCTCTGGCAGGATGGTGCAAAATCAACACTGATGGTGGCTCCAAGAGCAACCCAAGCCCAACAGGAATTGGAGGAGTGATACGAGACGACAGAGGAACGTGGATACAAGGATTCTTTGGCTGAATTAACCAAACATCAAGCCTCAAAGCTGAACTCTGGGCAATTGACAAGGGCCTTTAGGTGATCTTGAACAGAAGTAGGAACTGTATTCTGGAGACGGATTCCTTAGAAGCCCATAATCTGCTATTGGGTAACCAACCAGTTAGCCACTCTTTCAAAGTCCTGGTGGATAATGGCAGATTCATCATAAGGACCCTCAACATTATTTTGAAGCACACCATCAAAGAAGGGAATCAAAGTGCTGACTGGCTGGCTAACATAGGCGTGAACCAGATGGAATAAATGGTGGCTCTTGATGAACCACCTGATTGTGTGTTGTACTTATTAAGGGTAGACATTTCCTGTACTTTTTATTAGGGAACCCAGTTAGCTGAGGGTCTCTCCACAGCACCCAAAAAAAAAAAAAGATGTTGGGGGAGGGAGTGGGGGCTGCAACGGCTCGATCAGGTGGGCTAGCCCAAGATCTCAAAAACCTCGAACGAGCCAGGTACTCCCGGCTTTGTGCAGCAGCTGGGTGGTGGTTTGACCAAGGAGAGCCTATTTCTTTTGCAACATGGGCTCAGATTTTGGCTTTTGAAGATTTATACTTCGTTGTTTTGGGCCCGTAAGTCACACTAATAGCAGAATTAGGAATATACGAAACCCAAGGCGGAAGAGAGATCATTGAGATTACTCGGAGCCGTGAAGGGTAGTTTGAGGGAGCCAAACAGTTTCTGAGTTCTCCGGACAATTAGCATGGGGTTGTTAGGGCTTATAATTCTTTACATGATTTCTCGTTCCAACACAAAATTAACATGAAATTACTTTGAATTGGTTGAACTTTTAATAAATTTGGACCACAGTCTAATTTATTTTTCGGACTTGTTTAATCTTGAATCAACACAAATCTAGTAATGTCCAATAGGAACCCGACTATACTCTACTATAGATTTCTTAAAATAAATTCGATACAACATAAACTTGACTCTACATGATTAGGAATGAGTGATTTTTGAATTGAACTAATTTTGACACGACAAAAGACAACCACTACATAGCCATTACCAAGAATGAGTTATCACCTAGTGCTAAAGAGCTGGAAATCTTGAGACGATGTATTGTCAGGTTTATGACTAAATTTTGGTATACCTTTGTAATAATGCCTTAAAGTTGTCAAACTTCGAATTCCGCCAATTATACGTTAGGGGTTCAAGTAAAAATTAACCTCTTCAAAATAAGAGTAATGCTAGATGGACTTAAAAATTAGACTTGATAATCTCAATCATTGAATTGGTAGTGGGTCCCAATAAATACTGAAATCCACAGTAAAATTAATAGTTGAGATTATCAAGTCTACTTTTTAAGTGCATGTAGCATTGCTCTCAAAATAATGATAAGGTTATTTAACAGTGTCCTAAAACCGGTTATACGGCAATTGTTTTTAAACCCCATCACAGAAACAAGAAGTATGAGATACAAAGATCTAACATTCTCCAATAATATAGGTGGATTCTTCACACTACAGAAGATTTGATACTCCCAAGAATATAGGAATGACCATGGCAATATGGCATTTGGGTTGAAGATCATATCAAATGGGTTTTCCATCTTGCAAATAAGACATATCTTGTTTGGACTAAATATTTTAGATGATACCATTATTTTCATATCTTACGACTATTTTACCCGCTACTTTGGTTTCACATTTCAGTGAAATATATACACAAATTGTTTCTAAAATATAACTAGACCGCCATTTTTTCTGAATCCATCTTACATCAATAATCCAACCCCTACCACCTATAGATAGTTCTATACAAGTTTTTTTAGAAGTAAACACTACCCAATCAAATGCTTCATGCTCTTTCAAGAGAAAAATATAAACTTTTACGCTTGTGGATGGAATCTAGCCGAGTGTATGGACGAAAGAAAACGCAACAATTCCTTCCTTCGAAGAGGAAAAAAACGAAAGTGGGAGAGAAGGCCAAAATTGTTCAAGAAAAGTCGAAAAAGAACATTGTACGTAGACACAACAGAAGGCAGCAAAAGCAACTCTCTTCTATTTTAAACATTCAAGCAGTACTAATGTATATTCTCAATCTTTGGTACAATGATATTCTGGAATTGAGGATCCAGAAGCCATTAAACACAATTTCACTCATAATGTCAAATCATAAAGAAAAGCATAAACACGAAATCAGATTTACGGAGCCTGATTTCAAATTGACAAACATACAAACATTTATAACAGCAGCACTTAAAAAATACATCACACACATCCGGATTCATTCTAACAACACTAGGACAGATTGGATGGTGCAAAGAGAGGAATATAACATAAATCAATTCATAAGAGTCATTGGGTTTCTAAGAGATAAATTAGTAATTGAAGTCTTGTGCCATCAGCCATAACATAGACTGAGCTCGACAGCCAGCACTCAGCATGGTCAAAGAGTGAGCAACCCTTCCTATCCAAACACTTAATGAGGCTTCTTCAAATTTATAAACATAACCCAAGTTCAGGTTAATTTATAACTTCAAGATCTATATATTATCTACTTCAAAAGAAAAAAGCAAGCAATCATTCAGAGCTTCAGGTGCAAAACAGGACATGAAGGACATAGGCCAGAGGATCTGGCTTCCTAAGCTTATGACAACAATTGTCAAAAAGGGGAAAACTCTAAGAATAAGGAAAACTGCCATTAACTTGGGTATGTGGTAAAACATAAAAACGCAGATGCAGTGATTTCAATGCATAACCATCTACAACATTTCTGATGCACTGATTGGTCATCCCAATCTCAAATATATTTGAAGTCAAAAGAAGAAACTATTATATCAATCGGAAGCAGATATGGTTGGCTTAAAAGGATTTGGCAACCAATGAAGCAAGCCAACTGTAGTAAGTATTTCAACTCTATTTGTACTGTGGAGCATTAAACTTGAAGCATGCATAGATTTTTAACTATTGCAAATGCAGATTACAATTCCCCAACAATTCATCCTCTTTGCCCCAAGAATAGGCCCATATAGTATGTCGAACACAAATACGTTAAGAAGTGAGAGTAAATTGCGTATTTTCTTATTCTCCACTAAAGTTTAATTTTTTTAGCTCTATAAATTTGGATACGATGTTCACCATTTATCCTTGCTTCTGATTTTTAATTTTTTTAGCTCTATAAATTTGGATACCATGTTCACCATTTATCCTTGCTTCTGATTCCAAGAGAAAATGAGTGCAAATATTCAACCAAAAACCAGCTATAAGATAAATCTACCAGACAGAATGGCAACATGCCTGGCTGACTCGTCCCTGTTTCACAAACATGGATGAAGTATGCAGGGTCATTTAAAGAGGCAACTAGCACGTTGGTTCAATGGCTTCGATTTAAATTTGATTTGTCATACAAATTGAAAGCATGGGCCACATACAGCAATGAAACAAGGATGCAAAAATCGCATTCCATAAGCAACAAAACTTCATAGGTTATATAAATACCTCATAGTACATGACTGTAGCAAAGTTGAAGCCTCTCTAAACTGAAGCCTATACATACAGGCAATCTGCACTTAATAAGGCCTTGGAAATTCAAAGTTTTGAGAGATTCTGAAATATGTAAATAATTTAAATAGGGGGAGCCGAATTCAGTTCAATCTCCTCCTCCTGGGTGCCCGAGAATCTCCACTATCCACATCAGAAACCCTTGAAGCATCATTTCTTCTTCTGGATGATGAAGTAGAAAAGGATACTGTAGAATCTGTTTCAACAGCATTATCTACTGTTTGACTCTCTGAGTGTATAACTGCAGCAATGCTTGACATTGAATCTCTATCATCAACAGGGGAAGGCTGCTCTTGATTTCTTTCTACAGGATTATTACGGAAATATGACTCAACTAACCTCTCCGCAGAACTCAATGCAGAAGTAAGGTTAGAGATAGTAGCAGCCCTATGCGAATGCGATCTTCGAAGTAAAATGGATGAAAGCCGCCGATTTTCTCCCATCTCAGAGTTGGTTGGACTGCTCTGTGTTAAGTCGACCAGATCATCAGGTGGGACAACTGTATTCTGTTCTCTGCGCATCCCTCTTGAAGTCAGAATTCGGTTAAGCAACCAGTTGCTCCTCTCTGGCGATTCATGGGGACCATCAAGATTCTGAGGCTGGACTTGTAACAAATCCCGGGTCAAATCAAATCTGCTGCCAAGCCGTCGAATCATTTCCTCCATTGGAATAGTGAAAGCAGTCCTTTGAATAGTTTGACTCCAGCTCTCAACCCGCCGTGCTTGGGGCCTATGAGGGACCTTATTACTCGAATCCTCCTCTGGCTCATGCAAATTGTTGCCACGACCATAAATTGGTGTAACATTTTTAACTGTCACCTCTCCCTTGCAAACGGGACATTCCTTGGCATCCGAGTAGACATGTAACCATCGGTAAAGGCAAGGCCAACAAAACAAGTGGCCACAACAAGTCACAACAGGGTCTCTAGCCAAGTCCAGACATATATTACAATCAAAAAAGCTACCCTCATCACCATTAACCTTTTCATCATCTTCCTTCTTTCCTAAGGCAACATCTTCCAATAATCCATTATTATTATCACATGCTTTGGCCACCTCAGTAGGCCTTTCCTCAGCAGCAACACTGCCCTCACCAGTTTGCAATCCACTCCCTCCGATCAACTCTAGAGCAATATTCCTAGTTTCAGGTAGAAGTGGAAAAGGTCTCCACACTGATCGCCATCGTTGTCTCCTCTGCCTAACAGCTTCGCTGAGCCTATGGACAGGGCCGTCTAAAAATTCCTCCAAATTCATAGACCTATGGGGCAACGATCCTGAACCCGGCTCATTTTGGGATGAAGACTGAACATCTGGCCCCAAATTCAAATCAAGATTCATAGTATTTGGTGTTTCGTCCCCCATTTTAAATTGATCAATCCCCAAATAAAAAACCCTAAATTTTCAGCTCAACCAAAACAAAACCCCAACTTTTTTGTGGCTTCTGCTCAAAAATCAAAAACCCAGATTTCTTTTGCGAACTGAATAAAAACCCGATTTTATTTGCTCAAAAAAATCAAACGCAAATTCTTTTTTCGGGTAAATTGAATAAAACCTTAATATTAATTGTTCAAACAAATCGAACCCCAGATTTCAACTAGTAAAATGAATCAAAATCCTAATTTTGTTTGGCCAGACAAATCAAAACCCTAATTTGTTCATGCCAACTGAAGCAGAAAGCCATATTTATTGCAGGTCAACCAAATCAAAATCCTAACTTTAGCACATAAAAGGATCATAAAGGTGAAAGGTTCACTAATACCGTGGACTTTGAAATCAAATTTCTAATCTAACATAAACATTGAGATAAAAAATCCAAAAACAGCAATCAATCTAGGGTTTTTTTTTTCTGGTCAAAGCAACAGAAATACAATAATTTACAGCCCCAGAACAAGATAGAGAGAGACCTTGACTAGAGTTTTGAGCTCCGAGTGGATTCGCAACAGATGGGTTCTATCGAGGTATGAGAGTATTCTGTGACATGGGTTCAACTTCGAACCATTTAGAGAGAAAAGGGCGAGAGATAGAGAGAGCGATAGAGTAGAGTAGAGGGGAGAGAGAGAGAGAGAGGGGGGGGGGGGGGGGGGGA